TGTGAGCGTGTCAATCAGTGTAATTTTCATGGTAATGAACTTGAGTGAAGGAAATCGTTGGGAAAGGTGCGACGAACCTCGAAGGTTTTATGGTTGAGTAAATAGAGTACTTGATCTCTAGTCTAGGAATGATTAGAGTCCTCGAACTGTTGGAAAAATTAGTGTAGTTGTGGTTTCTTTCAGTATTGTAGCGTACTGTAGTGAAGTTAAATCAGTAGTAAATGATTATCTAGTCTTAAAAGAGCGTTACTATAAAATATTGGAATTAAAAAGAAAGTCAGTATTTCAGTATTACAGCGTATTGTATTACTATAAAATATTGGAATTAAAAAAAAAGTCAGTATTTCAGTATTATAGCGTATTGTAGTGAAGTTAAATTAATAGTAAATGATTATCTAGTCTTAAAAGAGCGTTACTATAAAATATTGGAATTAAAAAAAAAGTCAGTATTTCAGTACTGTAGCATATTGTAGTGAAGTTAAATTAACAGTAAATGATTATCTAGTCTTAAAAGAGAGTTACTATAAAATATTGGAATTAAAAAAAAATGTCAGTATTTCAGTATTATAACGTATTGTAGCGAAGTTAAATTAATAGTAAATGATTATCTAGTCTTAAAAGAGCGTTGCTATAAAATATTGGAATTAAAAAAAGAAAACCTAGAAAATAGTGAATATCAGAATAGTAGAATAGAAAATACTAAAGTAGTGAAGGGGGCTAAGTCAATCGTGACTGTAAAATTAGTAAATCATTGATGAAACGAATGAACGAATTTGCAATTGAGAAATTAAACTTGCAATCATAGATAAAATTAATGATCGATTAGAAACCAATATAATAAATAATAGTGAAACTAGTAGATAATGGAGTAACAAATTAATGATAAAAATCGGTTTGTCAATCGAAAAAAATGAACAAATAATTCTCAATGGTCTTTATCGCAACGTACAGCAGGAACGACTATACCGATTCCCAGAAAAATTACAGGGAAACGATCTTCGGTAGAGTAAAGCTACGATAGACGACGAGTATAATAGAAGAGAAGAAGAAATCCGCGACAGAACGGATCGAAAGTAGCAATACACGTCTACGAACAGGCGATGGGGAAAAGAGAGAGAAAGAAAGAGAGAGAGAGATAGTTTCACGAGAAAGTTTACAAGTATAGCTTCACTGTAAATTCGAGGGCAACGACGAGCAAAGCTCTCTACTCTTCTAACAATAAACACGCTCTTCGTGATTGTGCCTCTATAGAGGTTCGTTCGATTGTCGCTTGTACAAAGTACCACAAACAATGATCCTCTTGCACAATAATAATTTACTAACGAACAAAAACAGAATGTACTTGCACGTGGCAAATTATTACGAAATCCTGTCGCATCTCTTGCGCTGGGATGAGAATTTTTTGCCCGAAAAATTGCAATACTCTGTCAGATTTAGGTACGTTACAAGTATAATCCAGGCAAAAACAAATAACAAATTTGTTAATAATTTCTCGATAATTTCTATCCAGCAATGTACAAACGAGTTCAGAAAGAAAGCGACGAATTATTGTACACGGTTCGGTCACTCGTTACGGTCCGCAATCAGTTGCCAGCGCAAGTCATCAGATTCATCAGCTATCGCGCAAACGAATCTACGAACAAGTTTCGCTTGTAAAATGAGTTGTATGGTTCCTGTGACCTTGACGAAACTTTCGAAATGCCAACAAATTTATTCTGCCGCGAAACTTTCGAATCTTTTACCGAGAAATAAATAAATCTCTCGATCCCTTGTGTTCGTTCGAAAACGAGAAGGAGGACTATCGTGCACGAGAGGGGAAATAAACTGTTGCCAGCGATAGTCTGCAAACTAAGGGCTGTCGCGCAATCGACGAACCTCCGTGACAGGTTTGCCAACATACGTATGCACGTATACACACATACACACACGTATGTGTATCGGTAATCGGGGCATAAGTATACGCAAATATAAGGTGGATCGTAGCTGGAGAAGGCGATAGGTTGAAAAAAGGGGGTGAAAGGGGTGGGTAAAGCAACGAGGGTGATACTTAACTACTCGAGCTATTGTCCAACGATCGATTTGCACGTGAGCAGGAGTACTATCTCTCTAATAATAGGCCGATATGCGCGCGCAAGTGCCTGCTCGTGATTTCGTTACGTTCCAAAGCGACCACGAAGAGAGTCTTTTTCTTTTCTTCCTTTTTTTATTGAATTTCCACCAAAAAAAAAAAAAGTAACCACTATATCAATACACACGAACTATATCTACACCTCTTTGATTACTAGAAAGGAAGGAACTTCTGTACAAAAATATATCCAGGGAAACGTAATGGGCTTGAAAAAAATTCAAAATCATCCGATGTTCCCAACATCGGTTAGCTTTTAAGGGTTGGAGATTAAGGGTTTAGTGTTAATTGGTAGAGCACAGGGTTGTTAGAAAAGAAACGCGAAGGTGAAGGAAATATTTCGCGTAAATATCATCTTTCGAAATTGTAACAAAGTATTGCTCTTTAACAAAGTTTGCCGATTCTGTTGTTACTATAACGATTGATCACTGTCCAGAGTAATTTCTATCAGGAGGGGGAGGTTCTGTTAAAAATTCACGACTGAGAATTATATTATGTCGAATATCACACGACACCATAATAAGCGTCTCCATATAAAACTAAAAGAGTAGCTAACCATCAGTCTATAATTTTCAGGAGACTACGTCCCTGAATGTTGTACAATTCCCTATTAAAATTTCCATAAATTTATAAATATTCGCATCTAACAACCCTGTATCCTCGATCACTATTTTTTTTCTCCCATTATCGTTCCACTTTGGAAGACATTTGAAAAAAAAGAAGAATATCCAAAATGGATGAAAATGGGCTAAAAAAAAAAGAGAAAAAAATGATCCCCGCTGCTACAACCGGCGTTTCGACGATCGTGAAGCAAAATGTAAATTCCGGTTGGTGCAATTACCTTCGGCTGGCTCCGCTGGGGAAGGCAATTCCGTTTCGGATCCGGGCGTAGCAGCGAGGAATCCAGTTACAAACCGCGCTTCGGGGCGGTGTAAAGTAGAACGTTTAAACTCAGATTCGATCCATTAGAGGAATCTCGCTGGGTCGTATTAACTGTCCCGTTTCGCTCGTTTTCGAATAAAAAACGAGCCCCTCCCAAAAAAAAAGAAAAAGAAAAAAAATGGTTTCGAGCACCGGCGATGTTGCGCGCGTGCGAGCTGGAATCGTGGCGACTTGATCGAAATTGATCGTCGTTCGACTCTTAAAGGTAAGTTTGGGTTCGAAGGTTGATGTTACAGCTTAAACAGACCTCGAACTTGCAGAATTGTGTTGTACAGGTGTTGCATCAGAGAAAGAGAGAGAGAGAGAGTTTTGAGGGAGGTATTATAGTTGAGGATTTTTGTGAAATTTCGAGGAAATTGCCAGCTAATTGCAACAATAAATAATAAAAGATCAATAGTTCACTGATATTAAATAATATTACGGTTCAACGTTTTGTTGAAGAATAATTCGTATAAATTTTAGTATTTCTTTTTCTCGAAAACTGATCGAATTGGAGGGTTCTTTTTTTTACTTTTATTCGAATTTCGATAACGATGATATCACGTATGTCAAAAAGACATCAGCAATGGAAATACGTATCTTATCATTGCGTATGTGTAATTATTATATTAATACGAAGGCAGGAATATAAAAACAATATACCCTCCAATTTTTGTTTCTCACAGAATATTTTGGAATTTGATTAAATTTGAAAGACTGAGTCTATAGTATTTTAAATTCATTCTCTCGAGATTTATCGCAAATGTGTCGATATTCTTTAATTACCAAAAGAATAGTTACCAATAAAATATTGATAATGAAGAATATTTATTAATAAAATATTATCAAGAATGTTTACTTTTGCTAATAGAGAATATTTATTAATAAAACATTATTTGTTAATATAATTCTCCAAACATTCCTCCCCAAAATTTCACTCTCGACTACAATTACTAATAAATATTTACTATATTATATTTACTAGTATATTAAATATTTAATATTTACTATATTACAGTATATTATTTATGAGTAAATATTTATTAATGATCTATTTATTAATAAATACTCTCTAAGAACTTCTTTCCCCAAATTTCACCATCAAGATCATATCCAAGATACTATAATACTCTCCACTCAGCGCCACAACTCACCCCCTCGATGAGTATTTAACCTCTTACGCTGCCAACGACGCACAAATGTTGAGAACATTTGGCCCAAAATTGCAATATTTTCTCAGTTTCAAGTATATCGAAGTATAACCCAGGCAAAGTTAATAACAAATTTATCAACTTCTTGGTCATTTCTATCCAGTGACATACCGATGAATTCAAAGAGAAAGACGAATATATACTGTACACGGTTTGGTCGTTCTCGTTATGGTCCGCGAACCAGTTGCCAGCGCAAGAGATTGACAAACCAGTCTAAAAAAATTGAACCCCGATCTCCTCGATCAGTCGCGCGGAATTCCAAGCGTACGCGCGCGAACACGCCCACCCTCCCGATGGCGTGAAGAACCTCGTGCCAAAAAACACGAACAACACAGTGATAACGGGGGGAGAGGTTGAGAAAATCCGCGCTGGGTGTCACCGCAGCAGCAGCTACACAGGCTCCTAGAAAAGATTCGTGACGCTCGTGGGTGGTAAGAAAAACGTCGAACAGGGGCGCGCGTGTCTCGGACGACCTCCTAGAATTAGTTGGACGATCATCCGCCCAATTTAATCGGTTCAATTCGGGACACAGGGGTGTTGCTTCGTGGGAGCACAAAACTCATGAAAAATAGGTGGGCAGGCTAGAAGAGAAGATTCGTTTTTGTTTCCTTTTTCTTTTTTTTTTTCTAGACGTGAGAGAAAGAGAGAGAGAGAGAGAGAGATAGAGAGAGTGAGAGAATGAGAGAGAGAGAATGAGAGAGAGAGAGAGAGAGAGAGAGAGAGGATTTTCTGGGTGGTCCTACCTTTCACGTCATCGTCCTCGATCGTTGTGCTGCTGTCGGTCGACTCCTTCACCTGAGAGCCATCGCCCTTCTTCGTGATGATGCTCCGACCTGGAGCACGCAGAGCGTTTCAGTAAATCGGCATTGGCTTCGTTGGATATAGTGAGCGGAGTATAGTGATTTCAGAGAGAAGAGAGAGAAATAGAGAGAGAAAGAGAGAGAGAAAGAGTGAAAGAAAAGAGAGATTAGAATCATTTAGGCAGACGTTAGGCTTATATGTTATATAAGGTTAGGCTTATGGTTAGATGTTACGGTCAGTTTTCTTTTCTTTCTTTTTTTATTTTTTATTTTTTCTTTTTTTTTTTTTTTGGCTCATGGACGAATCACACTTTGCGAGAGCACACACTTTGCACGAAGGCGATCGCAGGATTGGCTTTGGAGAACAAGGGGAATTAATTTGAAGGGATTTGTTTAGAGAGAGAGAGAGAGAGAGAGATTGAAGAAGTTCGAGATTCGAGATTAGAAAGAGAGAGAGAGAGAGAGAGAGATTGAAGACAGTTGCAGAGAGGATTGTTCTTAGCGATCAAGACAAACGCGTGCCTTTTGGAGGAGGATAGAGAATTCTTCTTGATTCGATCGATTTCGTTTGATTGTTTTGCTAGGTTGATTGGAAAATTGCTGTTGCTGCGTCTTGAATTTATTTGTATAATTAGATAGGTATATAATTCGTATTAGAAATGTTGGTATATTTCGATTTTTAAGTGGGCCACTGTAGTTCCATTTAATTTTAAACAATTATATCGTTTTGTTTTCCTCATTTTTGCCATTGTTTTATTCTCTCATTGTAGCGAGCAGCAGTAAACTTATCAAGTTACAATTGAAAGTTCATTAAAGGAACAAATTGATAATTTCTTTCTGCAATTTCGCCAAATTTTCCGACAGAAGAATATTGTAGAAACACTTTAATACCAAAAGTGAACGATTGAATAGCCAATGGTAAATTGCAATGAATATTCCACTGGAAATTAATAATGATAAATGTATAATCACAGCACAAATTAATATTAATATTCAATACGTATGTTGAGGATTAATTAATGCAAATTCTCAACAATTCATCTCTTTTCCTTCTCAGAAAATGAAGACAATTAAACAATTTATTTTCTTTTCATTTTGCTGAAATGCACAGAGACAGCAAAATCCACTCCAATCAACCTATAATCATCAGACACATACACGTTAGACGAATTTGCACCGATATATACAACGAAGAATCATGCCTCTGTTCTTTTATACACGACTTCCAAACAAAATCTCGAGGATTTCCTGAACCAATCGACTTCTCGAATTAATAGATAATTGTTCCATGTGCGTATCATTTCTATAGGGCTAAGTCGAAGCTCTAACAAAATAGAATATTTCATTCTAATCGAGAAAAGCTCCAATATTACACACGCACAAGATTGGTAAATAAAAACTGGACGATTATTTCCTCGACTGTACAAATAATAATACAAAACAGATTCTTTCAACGAAAGAAATTGCTGTCCAATCGTACGAATCGGTACAAATGCGTCTGACGCTCTGAAAAAAAAAAAAAAAGAAAATAGAAAAAAGAAAAATCCCACTTGAACACACACAGAAGCTGCGAAGCGATCGTCAATGCAATTCGCGCAAGTGTGCACACGAGAGATCGGAGAAATCGTGCTCAGAAGCGAAGCGAACATCGACAAGTGCACCCGTTTTCATCCTCGAAATTGTAACGAAGGGAGGGGCAGGCGACGCAAAGAAGAAATCGATCGAAAGAGGTAAAAAACGAGGTTGAATACGATCTTGTTTGGCCGCTTCGTTCGCGGTGAATTATTCTAACAATCAGAGGGGGGGCGGTAAACGTCGCGGTGAGATTGGAACGAAATCATCGGGGAACAATGAGGGGTCGGCTTCATCATCCATTGCGCGTTTCCTCCTTTCTTTCTTGCATGACAAAGGGCGAACGACGTCGGAGAACGGAAACAAGAATTACTTTCGACGAGGAGTAAGGTTTGCACGAGGAGTGATTTTTACTTTAACCCGTTCGAGGCCAAACTCAGTTCTCAGAAGTCTCGAAGTTTTTTGGAATTTTGGAGAACATTCTTTCTTTCTCGGGAGAGCGGATATCAGAATTTTACCTTCTCGTTTTGTTTTTTTAATACGTTAATATCGACTCGTTCGAATATTATATATTATATTTTATATTATATTATATTATTATATTATTTATATTATTATATTATTATATTATTTATATTATTATATTATTATATTATTATATTATTTATATTATATTATATTATTATACTTCTTTGTACGTTACTTTTCAATGTGTTTTCGATCATTCTTTGCAATATTACTTTTTAGTAGAAACCGACCATGATTAATAGAATGTAAAGTTTACTCTGAGAATTCTTTTGTTTTTCTTTCCATATTGATATCTCACGATCTATGTCACACATCTTTTCAACGTCAAAATTGCCAATAATTAATGCAACGTAACATTTTTTTCAAAATTCAAAACGTAAAATTGGTTTTCAAAATCCCTCTCATTTCCTGATCCTTTCATTTGTCAATCTATTGGTTCACCGATATATTACCTTTCAACAATAAAACTACGGAGAAAAATGAACTTTCAATGATAAATTTAAAAATGAAAAATGCATCGTTCGTAAATTGACGAAAATTTCGGTCATTTCGATCGGTGCCATTAATTGTAACTCTGTCCTTCGTGATCGTTCGTACGGATGGTTTATTTCACCCGCCGCTCTCCCGATATTAACTGACGACAACAATGACATAAATGCTTCTCTGTGACGTAAGCGGTGGCCCACCATGGCTTCGAATGGGTTACGCAACGAAACTTCACACGGGTGTATCTCGATCGCTAGATCCGAATGGAGGAGTTGAGAAAGAGTTGAGAAAGTATTGGGAAAGAAGTTCTCCTTAGGCGAGAACCATCGACAAAGTCGAAGGAGATTTCCTCGACTTTGTCCGGTTTCTAAGAATAGTGTCGAAGCGTGTCGACTCTTATTATACCGAGATCGATGCAACGACGCTTTGAAAAAAAAAAAGGAAAGAACGTCCGATGCAATTTATCATTTCCAGTAAACTCGTCTTATCACGTCACAATTAACCCTTCCTAGACTGTCGATAAGTATATTTGTCATTTGCTGTATTAAATAGAAATTTCAGTAATTGCAAAAGTGATTCTTGCATGGTCTTGTCGTTCAATTTTATTATATTTACAATTAGTTTTTATTACAATGTAACATTGCGAGTAATCACAATCGAAAGATATGTAATTACTAACAAATTATTTTTTAATATACTCAAGACACTTATTTTAATTTATTTAATGCACGCGAATACATTCATTGCTCAATCATGCAAATTATTTCGTTTCTCGACCGTGGATGCTTATGAAATTCGTATATTTCTAGAGCTCTATCTATTAAATATTGTAATGAATGACAAGACTTTCATATTTAATACACTTTTGTACATTATTCGTAGCCTGTAATCTACCTATTTTCATAATAATTTCTCGGGACATTGTTTATACTTGACGTCAGTCTCGAAAGGGTTGAAATAATTTAAAAAATCATTACATCGACCTCGATCAGCTACAACAAAGAAGATTCTCTATCCAATTGTCCGTGCTATCTAACAACGTGTCCAGTTCCACGTATCGAGAAGTATTCGTCAGGCAAAGAGGACTTGAAACAAACAGAGAAGAAGTGATCTCAGATCTTAACCAAGTGGCAGGTTAATTAATCTAATTTTCCAGAGGCAGAAGAAGCTAGATAGAAGATGGATGCAAACCGCAGAGAAGAAACGAAGAAGAAGAAGAAGAAGAAGAAAAGGAGTAGTAATAATAATAATAAGAAGAAGAAGAAGAGAAGAAACAAGGATAAGGAAACAAGAATGTACAAGAGAGTCAAGGGGGAAAGAAAAAAGATTTCTCACAGGATTTCATACCGTAGAACACTAAAAAAAAAAAAAAACAAAACAGTACATGTGTGTTTCGCATGCGAGACGAAGTATCAGACATTTTTGGAGCAACTCTGCCGATGCTCTCAAGACGACGTATCGGTGCCAGGGGTGACAGGGAGGAAACATTCAACCCTTAAATGGTATCGGTAATTTATTTCATTATATCTTGCATTTCATATTGGAACTTGAACGAATCAACAGTTAAATTAACTCAACAGCGTACGATTAATTTACAAAATTACAACAGTTTAGATTTACAGAGTTAATTAGTGTTTCTTTATTTTACTAGTCAGTTTATTATTTAGTAACTAGTCAGTTTATTTATTTCACAAAGTTACAACAGCTTAGATTTACAGAGTTAACAGTTTATCGACTGACAATTTTTCGTCTTCAGTTGTACTGTATATCGACTGAAAAGAATAGTAACGTTCAATAGAATGTCCTTGACGGGTTAAACAATGTAAAAGTCGAATTCACAGTGAAATGCAATGTGAGAGTCAATACTTTCATATCCAACGTTCAATGATACCAGTTAGGGGTTGAAAAAAGAGTGGAGGGGGAGAGAAAGGGAGGGAAAGAGCAATGGTCCTCACGTCTTTACCTTCTGGATGGCTCCTCTCGAGAGCTCGGCTTCGTTCCGTGCCAGCGAAGCGTCGCAATAGTTTTCATAAAAACGAAAGAAACAGGGAACAGAAGAGAAAGAAAAGAATAACGATGCGATAATTGGCATGCTGAGCGGCGTGCGACTGCGTGTCGAAATATTCTCCTTTTCCTTTTTTTTTTTTTTTTTCCTTTTTGTTTTAGGGAGGTCAGAACGAACATAGTTTTGGGAAAGGTTCGGTCGGTTTCTAGCTTTTCGATTTTCAGCTATAGGCTGTATAGATTGTATCGTAGTACGTGTTCGATCGAGGTATCATTTTATTGAAGTTTGATTTATATGGAGTTTAGATTCTTTTTGACTTTTGTTTCTTTTTTCAAGGGAAATGTTGATTGAAACTTTGGGAAATGTAGATTGTATTTCTTTTTCTTTTTTTTTTCAGTGTAGAGCGTGGAACCAAGTGCTATCGATCGTTGATCAAGATAATCGTTGTTAGTAGGAAGGAA